TTTGTTTGTTTGTCTCTGTGGCTTCCCTGGGCCGCTTTCGGGCCACCACTGCCAGATTGCCCTGCTGTATACGAGTGGTAAGATACAGGGAGGCGCTTGCAGACAGTTTTTTTTTTTTTTTGTATGGGGTCCGATGGTCCACGGGTCAGACATTAACCTGATCAGAACAGATACTACACTTGATCTATTTTTAGCCAAAAGGCCGAGAAAGGTGTGGGGGGTGGTTTAAGATAAAGAGGAAGGAGAAACAGTTTTCAGCACCTGCAATGGCTCCGGGACCAGGCTCTGCACTGGAATATCTTCAAGCTCAAGCTGCAGCCCTGACTCTCTTGCTAGAATGACCACCTGTTCAGATGCATGGAACCCATGGCAACGACAAAAACAGACAGTCGCCCAACAAACGAATGTTAGCAGCGGCTCCGTCATGACCTTCTGCATCACAGGGAACAACGATTTTTTTAATTACTTAACTAACCTATATTCTTCCCTCAATATGCCTCCCACTACCTACCTGTATACTGCTAGCTTAGTAGGGAACGCTGGGGTTATGAGTTTGGATTCCCGGCATCCAGATTTTCAACCTCAGCCCATCTCGCGGGCTGTTCTGTGCGGAGAAAAGTACCCAGGCTCCTAACACCTGGCGCGAGCTCGAAAGCGCCACTCTTCCACAACCAGCCAAGAGGGACAAGCTGAGTTTCTCAGTCGGTGAACCAAAAGTATGCCACACAGGGGTTCATGGGGAATCGAATGGACGTCGTGGGGAATCGAACCCACGACCTCCCGTGTACCACTTATGTGCTCAACCAACTGAGCTAGGCCGAACAACAAAGAGCACAGCAGAAAGACTCTAGATACGACAAATCTGCAATTAACTTGATGAAAATTACATGAATAACTGTGTTAAAATCCGGGCCGCCCGGCGGCCCAGCCTTCGTCCGGCAGGGGTCCTGGGCGGCCCGGTCGGTTGGGTCCGCCGGTTTGGCGCCGGGCGGGCCCAGCGCAATTTCGCGTGGGGAGGGGGGAGGCCTTTTCGGCCAGTGGCAGCCTCCCCGGCCCCCAGGAGCACTTCGAAACTTTACGTTTCGTTTTTCGGAGGACGGTAAGGTGGGGGGAAGGCCTTCTTCGTAAGTTTTTTTTTTTTTTTTTTTTGGGGGGGGTGATCAGACTACGTTGCGATCAGCCGCCAACAAACTACCTCGTTTCGCCCCCCTGGTCACCTACGACGCGGTATTCACGAAGCCCGCCCGCTGTCGCTGCCGTCTCGAAGCCTGCCCGTCGTCGCCGCTGCTCGTCGTCTCGAAGCCCACCCGTCTTCGTCGAGCTGCTGTCGTCGCTCCCCATCGAGCTGCCCCGTCGAACAGCCCTCCCCGTCTTCGCCGCCCGTCAAGCTGCTGTCGCCATCGTGGTGAATCGGCGTCCACCTCCTTCCTTCCTCTTCTTCTTCTTCTTCCTCTCCTCCTCCTCCTTTCGTCTTCTTCTCCTCTCCTCCTCCTTTCCTCCTTTTTTTCTTCTCCTCCTCCTCCTCGTCCTCGTCCTCCTCCTCCTCCTCCTTTCGTCTTCTTCTCTCCTCCTCGTCGTCCTCCTCCTCCGTCTTCTTTTCTCCTCCTCCTCCTCTTCCTCCTCCTTCCTTCTTCTCTCCTCCTCCTTTCTCCTCCTCCTCCCTACTTCATTGGTTTTCTTTAGTAGGCGAAGTGCCACGTGGCAACAGCAGTGCGCTGAGAACTGCCGCGTGTCGGGATTCCTCTCTCTCTCTCTCTCTCTCTCTC